GATTATGGGACACTCGTTAGCTTCGATAGTTGGGTATTTTTTATGTGTTGGATAATCTTCATTTAATTTTTTTTGTTACCTTTCTACAGAAATAAGTTTGATTATGATATTGTAGAGAATTTCACGGCGCATCTTTTGGAAAAACAATCAGCTTTAAAGATCAAAACTTATGACACACCCTTTATATGCTGTGAATATTAGCCTATTCTATCGAAAAAAACATATAACAAAGTCGTATTACTTGAGGGAGATCACAACTTATGTGACACCCTTTATTTGTTTCGAAATAAATAATAGATGAAATCATTGTTTCTAGAAGAAAAATTTTATTACTAGTTTCGTCAAATTTTTTGTTTCCATGATGAAAAAGTTTGTCGTACCAGCAACAAATGAATCAAGAAGGAACCTAATCGATTGAATAGATCAATTAAACCAATTGAGTTTTCATAAATTGAATATTGTATCTAGTAAAATTTGACAGTGTAAATATAATCGTGAAGAATTCGAGTTGGACTAGCTTTTAGAAACATTGAATAGTTAACACATTCGTTCACAACTCTTTTAATACGATCAAGTACATTTGTAAAGATTACTTCAATTGGACTACAGCCGATTCGTTCCCTTTTTAATTATTCGGAATTCGAACCCCAAAATTAGTTTCCGACTTCGTTCCCGTCGTAGAACAGCCCTAAATAATTTTTACCGAATTTGTCTCCACTTTATTTCATAGTTGAATTATCATGTTTGTATTTGTCTATATTAAGAAGTCACATCCATACGCATCAAGCAGAAGAAAACGAAATGATGAAATTGATTTACTTCTTGAAGATTTGCTCAAACAGTTTTCTGATGAGCAATTTAGTAAGATAGATTTCGCCATTAAATGCTGTGAACCTATTAAGACTACTTATACCAAACAATGACTTGCCTTTTGATATTAACTAAAGTTTTTCCCAAATAATTTCATAATTTTTTTGTTCTTTCTTATGTTTGTAAAAGAAAAAATGTTGATATTTATTTTTTGATGCTATGATAAAAATTGTCTCACTTACTCAATAAAACTACATTAGTAATGAATGTTTGTAAAACTTAAGTGCTAGTTTAATCAGAAGATGAATCTAGTGTTGGCACGAAATTGGGAAAAAGATCGCAGGAACGAATTTGGAAGATTCTCACGAGAGCAAAAAAAATCAGAAGTCGAGTTCGAAAACAATTAAGGCCAGACGAATTAGGGGTAAACCTATCTGCTCTTGTCCGGGATAGACGATTCTGAATCTTCTATCGGATGATTTTTATTTTTAGAAAGACGAAGTTCATGATGCATGGCTTGATGAAATCGATTGGACTAATGTAAAAAATTATAAATTAAAAAATTCTGAAGTAACTGAAGAAAATCTTGATGATCCATCAAAAATGAATTCATCATATAATGATGAGGATGATGATGAAATAAATGATAACCAATTTAATGAAACTAATGCTCTAAAATGTCTACTTACAATCATGCAACCTAATGAAACTGTTGTTCGTGCAATAAAACGACTTGGAGCAGCTGCAACAAGGTAAACATTTTTTTCTCAGAAATATTTATTTTTTTATCGAATTGCTTTTTTTGTTCTTTTAGTAATAAATCGAAACAACGTTTAAAGCAACGAAAACCACTTCCCGGTGAAATTTCAACTGCATTATCTGTTGAATTAACACCTGAAGAATTAAAAAAAAATAAATTTTTACTTGAAGAAATGACTGGTCTTGCCGATCAATTTGTATCTAATGGTCAACTTGATATTTATCAAGAAACCTATGAACAACTTAAAACAAAACTTGATCGTATCGAATCATCTGCGTCTAGTTCGACTAATAATTCAGCATTTGATATGTATGGTGACAGTGAGATTGCTTCATCAACTACAGCCTCAACATTATCAACTAATAAAAATAGTAGAGATTATTTTTTTAAATTTATATCCTATCTCATTTATTTTTGTTTTTTTTTTAAATATAGATTCCTCGACTGTTCTTTGGGAATATACAACCGATGACAATAGTACTATTCAAGGTCCATTTACAACTGAACAAATGGTTCGTTTAACAAACATTGAAGGAAAATTAGATAAAAATAAAGTTCGTTGTCGTCGTGTTGGTACTGAACAATTTTATTCTTTAAAACGTATTGATTTTGATCTTTATCTCGATTAAAATAACTAACTTGTAAATAAAATAATTTCTGTGTTGTTTATTTAATAAAAATAATTTTGCTTTGTCATTAATTAATCAAATTAATATTATACTTGAATATTTTGTTGTGTTATTTATTAGTTCTCATTGTTTTTTCTTGTAATAAATATTCATATATATTTGGAAAGCAGAGAAATTATTTAAGCAGCCTTTTTAGTTTCATCTTAATAGCAACCGTTAGAAGGAAAAGTAAAGATGGAATAAAGAAAAAAAAATATTACATATCAGACAAGCAAAAGACATACAATTTACATACTCATATGTACACAGGAATCGAAAAGCGTCGGACATTATATACGAAGATAAAGACAAAAAAGTGGAAAAGCAATATAAATGGACGTAGACGGATAAAATAGAAGAAAGAAAAATGATCGACTGGCTAGGAAAGTCCTTCAAATGATTAGTTACTTTTGAGCCGGATGCATGTGCATCATGTAGATTCTAATGAGGTATGAGTATCCTGAAAATATAGTTCAGGCTCATAACTTATGATTGTCGGCATATTACATTTTTGATGGTATTTTTCGATACAATGGCATACTTTCCGTAGAGACTGAACTTACCGAGAATAGTTTATTGTGAGAGTTTCAGATATTTTTGTTGTTTCTATCTCGAGATACAACCATCGTAAAAGCGCATCTTTNCAGTATTAGTATTAACGAATGCATTGAGTCTTATATTGTCTGAGTAATAATGAAAACCGGCCATCACCGTAGGCTCTCATGATTCTAAATTGGCAGTATTGATCTTAACCAGGGATGCAAAGCTGAAGGCCATTCACTAGTTAAATATAACTGTCTCACCGGTCCAAATCGATAACTATACCTCCGATTACTGGTTCAATTACGATAACCGTCCCTACGGTTACCAGTCTAAGGGTGGGTGTGGGTGTTTGGTGTGGCTGTGGCTGTGGGTATGGGTGTGGGTATGGTGTTGTAGCTGTGGGTGAGAATAAGACCGGTACCCGCACCCACACCCCACATTGAGAATGGTCTCATTTGAAAGAGCACATGGCAATGTATCGACTGACGCTTTCAAAAATTTGTGGCATTGAACTTTGGTAGCAAAACTTTGTTGAACAAGACTGGAAAAACCGAATTTCTGTCCTGATTTTCACTATGAAGACTGGTAATTTTCTTTCAAATGTCTGATATAAGTGTTTCATATAAAAATTCTTGTTTAGAAACCTGTAATTTAAAAATTTCAGCTCATTTTAACTTGTCTGTGAAAAATGGTGAATCATTCATTTTTGTGAAATATCATAGGATAGCAAAAATAGTCTCTCTAATTTGTCTCATATCCATATTTCAATTAACGTACGGCCAAAAATCTAAAATTTTTATCATCAGTTATACTCATCAAGTACTTATATGTATAAGTTTCAGCTCAAAATTCGAACATTGATTTTTTTTCGAATTATATGTGAGTAATTGTCGTAGTCTCCCTCAGAACCATGAAGAAAAATCAAAGATCGAATGTTGAGCTCAAACTTTGTGCATATTAAGCGCTCAATGAGAATAGTTTATGGTAAAAGTTTGAGATCTTTTGATCGCACTTTAACTGAAATATGGATATCAGAAAAATTAGACGCGATGTATATGCTATCCTGTCATCTTTGACCATAATCAATGGTTCACCATTCTTCACAAAAAGTTCAAATGAGCTGAAATGTTGCACATAGAGGTTTCTCGACATGAGCATTGATATAAAATACTGAAATCAAACATTTCGAAATAAATCACTAATCTTCTTAATGAGAATAGGGTCCCAAATTCGATCTTTCCAGTCTTGCTCAAAATATTTTTGCTACTAAAGCTCAATACCACAAACTTTTGAAAACGTCAGGCGACACAATTAGATGTGCTCTTACAAATAAGACTGCTCTCGGTTTAATCTATTGAGCTAATCCGACCAACTTATCGTATCTCCCCGAGGATGTTTTCTGAAAATACTATATAATATCAAGCAAAAGTCACTCTATGAAAAGATACTTTTATTGATATAAAAATGCAGTCCATCATTGATAGTATTGATAGTAAAAAAATTTCGGCTATATCTCTTGTTGATTTCGAGAAAAGGAAAATTCACTGAAAAGTATTGCAATATAAAGTGATCTAAATGAGACCCACTCACTCTTGCTTGCGATACCTATGTCTCCAGAACACATTATCCGATTGAGCATAAATTCTTAGGTTCTTTCGAAGTCTGTTAGGCCTACCTACTGTAAAAATATCAGTCAAATCGCTGAGATCGATTCAGCAACGTTGGTCGTGGCTTACGTGCAATGCCTCGTAAGGGTTTCCGAAGGTCGGAAACCTATTTTTAGATTGTGGAATGTTTGACCTAGATAACTTTCTCGTTTTGTTTTAAACATCTCCTTGGATATAGTAGTACTTTGGGATACTTGATGCGTTAGAGAAAAGTATCCAGAGGTACTGTATAATTGACAATCAAGCATTGGTGTGTACTCTGTTTCATATTCCTATTAGAAACTCTGAGCGTTAGACGCTAAACAGTGTGCCTTATCTTTTTACAAATACCAGCAAACTTCTGCAACATTGTAAACCGCTCACAAGAGTATTGAAGAACAAACAGCGTCATTATTTTTGTATCTCATCTCAAAAAATGAAATAGGAACACTTACTCTTGTTTCTATTCGTTGCAACTGTTAAATTTGAATATTTCAAATGCTTTTTGCCAATAGACAACAATCGTCGAATTTGAATGTGTCTTTCTTTGCTGTGAAATCAGAAGCGCGAATGAAAAACAGTGTATCGTTTCTTTTTTGAATGCAGTGTTGTGCTTTCGCCTGCCCAAACATAAATATTACATTTCTCTTTACCTATTACATGCATGAATGATTTTGTCGCTCCTTTTTCTCCTTCCCAGATAAATTAGAAAGATAAATGATTACTATCGACACTCATTACTTATAATTTACAATTTACTNTTTATTGGTTCTTTTTCATTTGGTGCTCAATTGTCTTATTTTTTGGTGCTCATTTCACACATAGAGAAAATCGGTGCTCATTTCACCCTTTTTTCAGTGCTCATTTCACATATCGATAAATTTGGTGCTCATTTCACTCTTTTTTTGGTGCTCAAAACACACTTCATCGATCTGGTGCTCATTTCACTCCTTTTCTGGTGCTCAAAACACTCCTCGTCCGAGGGATGATGAAGAAATGAGTTCCAAAATAGATGAAACAAAAAAAAAGTACAACGCGTTTCTTATTTTAATCCGGCAGGGATTGTGATAACAATTTTATTTTTTAACTTCTTCTTCAACTAAATCGTGCATCATTTTGTTTCAGTTATTATCTCACAAAAATTTCATTTCACTCAGAAAATTTGTTAAGTTTGATGGGATTATCTGTTATTTTCTTTAAGAAGAAAAATCTGTGTAAATGAATCCTATTGAGAATATCAATAATTTAATCGATGATAAAATAGAGATGTATCATTATCTGACTAATATCTTCTTTTTAAAGAAAAATAATTATTATCCTGTGAAATTATTTTGTTTATCGCAGTAGAAATAAACCATGATCTTGATCTATTCCTGATCAATTTGACAATCTCTACCAAATCATCATCAATCACATCTTTTGTTTTTTGCTATTATATTTATTTCCATATGTAATTCATAAGTTAGAATTGAATTTTTAATATATATATCAAATGGGAAAAATGTCAATAAAGATATTGCACATAAGTACGACACAGTAGTTTAAAGAACGATAAACATAAAAAAGAGAAAGTTTTGTTCCTACTTACCAATCATTTAAATCGCATTAAATTAGATAGACAAAAATAATATAAAATAAAATCGGGCCTAGAAGGTCATGCTTACAATTAAATAAAAAAAAAGGAATGTAACAACACAGAATATTAATAAATGTTATCAAACAAAAAAAAAAAAGAACATTTAATTTTCTTCTAAATCTCGAAATGCTGCTTGCATACGTTCATTAAGATCATCAAGATCACGCTTTATCTTTTCTTCACTCTCCTTAGTTGGGTCCTAAAAGTAAAAAAGAAAATCCTTAATAATAATATAAATTAAATAATCGTAAAAATCTACCTTAAATTTCATACTACTTAATTGATGAATAATATCTCCTAAATTAGTTCGAATATCATTCCATGTTATTTTCTTTTCTGATTGAGCTGTTGTTTCAACAGCATGTCGTGCTAAATCATAAAAAGCAATCATATTACGAAGCATTGTAACACATTTATAAAATGGACAATATCTACAAAAGAAATTATATTTTAAATTAATGTTAAATTAAATATATTATTTTCCTACTTATCATATGACGAATAACCATTTTGTTGTAAAAAATCATCTTTTATCATTCGAGCTACTTCAAGTGTTATTTTATCTGTCTCAGCTAATGAAGCTTTACCAACAAGTTGTACAATATCCGAAAGATCTTCTTCTTCTTGTAAAATTTCTTTACACTAAATAAAAAAGAACAAAAATCTTTTCTTTTATTTCAAAAACAAAAGAAAAATTTACTTTAGCACGTAATGGTACAAATTCTGGAAAGTTTTTATCATAATAATCATCAAGTACACGTGTATATTTACTATATGAAATAAGCCAATTAACAGATGGAAAATGTTTACGTTGTGCTAATTTTTTATCTAAACCCCAAAAGACTTGTACAATACTTAAAGTTGCTGCTGTAACTGGATCGGCAAAATCACCACCAGGTGGAGAAACACTAGAACAAAAAAAGAATTATGAAAAATTTTTCTATCAATTATTATTGGTATATTTACGCTCCAACAATGCTCACAGAACCTTCACGTTCTGGATTACCCAAACATCGTACACGACCAGCACGTTCATAAAATGAAGCTAAACGAGTACCCAAATAAGCTGGATAACCCGAATCTGATTAGAAGAAAAAAATAAATTGGAACTTTGAATTAATCAGAATACAAAAATA